GGAGGAGGAGCGGAGGAGGAGGAGGAGGAGGAGGAGGAGGAGGAGGAGGAGGAGGAGGAGGAGGAGGAGGAGGATTTTTTTCACTGGCTACATCTCCGAACGACACTGCAGAAGCGTGAGCGCGCGGAGGCTTAGGTGAGGAAGCTCAGCATCTCGAAGTTCTTGCACATGAGGCCGACCCGCACGGCCCACACGATACCGGCACCCAATCCGCGAAGGACAGCACCGAATTGATGATGTCGCACTCTAGCTCGTACTCTCCCCCATCTCATGAGCAACAGCGGCCTCGAACAAGTCCACCAGCTCAGCCACGTCGAAGTCCCCCTTCTCAGCCAGCGCCGCGTGAGCCCCGCGCAAGGGCTTCGAGGCCTGCTTCCACGACAGGCGGAACCGCGCCTCCACCTGCCTCCACTGCCGGATGGAGAGCTTCGACATACCCTTGAGGACGGCAACAACGTCCTTCAGCTGCAAACGGTCGTCGAGAGGAGACGACGCCGTACACGATACACTCGCAGGAGGAACAATGCTCGAAGCACACGAACTCTCTGCGGCGAAAATCTTGGGGTCATACTCGCTGGAGTTGGCCACGCCACCAGCGTCAGGATAAAGTTTAGATTTAGCAACCTCTTGCTGTAGATACTGAACAGAATCGCCGCGATCGTCTCCGAGAAGCTGTCGCACTTCGCCTCCTCCTCCGTCGGGATGCAAGTCACCAGCAGCATGAAGAAGGTCAGCTGCAGGAACTTTGGATTATGGAAGCTCATGTTCTTGCCCCTCACGCTCGCCTTGATCCCCAGCGGCTTCTTGAGGAAAAATGTGAGCACCGTCCGACTGCTTACCCTCCAGGCCGTTCTCCACAAAGAACTCGAAAGGTTCGCCGCCATCGAAGCACTCGTGCTTGGAAAGGCACAGAGAGGCACGGTCATCAACAGCACCTGGTCCTCCCTGCACACCTCGGGCACTCAGATCGTAGAACTCGGTTAGTCCGCCGCCCTGGACTCCAGCTCGTTGACTCCCACGGTCTTGCCCTTCACGCTGCTCTTTCGCTCCTTCTTCTCCTTTTTCTCCTTCTTGTCCTTCACGAACTTCTTGTCCTTGGTACTGCGCTTGCCGTGCTTCGCCCGCTCCTTGGGGAAAAGGCTGTGCTCCACCTCCGCGGTCGTGGGCGCCAATGCCAAGGTCGCGAAACTGTAGTACTGGCACCGCAGGTACTGGTACGAGACTGACGTATGAGGACCCAGTAGCACCTGGCCCATGGTGTCCGTTGGGAGACCAGGAGCTGCCCACTTCACCGCCCACGTAGCAGGCGGCTGGTGTAGAGGTCGAAGGTCTCCAGGTGGAGGCTCCAACATTCCCGATGTCCCTGACGGCGCAAGTGAGGTTGACCTCGAGTCCAGCAGGACCTGAGACTTCGACTCGCGCGACAGCGGGGGGACCGCCATGGCTGCCAGGCATGCAAGAGCGATGAGCCAGCGAAACGCCCGAAAAGTTCGAGCCCCAAGCTCCTGGACCTGACCAGGAGTGAAATACTGCGGGCCCTCAGCCCCCGAAGGCCTCGGGCTTGAGCCAGGAGGAGGAGGAGGAGGAGGAGGAGGAGGAGGAGGAGGAGGAGGAGGAGGAGGAGGAGGGGAGGAGGAGGAGGAGGAGGAGGAGGAGGAGGGGGAGGGGGAGGGGGAGGGGGAGGGGGAGGGGGAGGGGGAGGGGGAGGGGGGAGGAGGGGAGGAGGAGGAGGAGGAGGAGGAGGAGGAGGAGGAGGGAGGAGGAGGAGGGAGGAGGAGGAGGGAGGAGGAGGGAGGAGGAGGGAGGGAGGAGGAGGAGGAGGAGGAGGAGGAGGAGGGAGAGAGGAGGAGAGAGGAGGGAGGAGGAGGGAGGAGGAGGAGGAGGAGGGAGGGGGCAGGAGGAGGAGGAGGAGGAGGAAGGAGGAGGAGGAGGAGGAGGAGGAGGAGGAGGAGGAGGAGGGGGAGGAGGAGGAGGAGGAGGAGGAGGAGGAGGAGGAGGGGAGGAGGAGGAGGAGGAGGAGGAGGAGGAGGAGGGGGAGGAGGAGGAGGACCTCTGAGGGTCGACGTTGTACTAAGAATGGGTGGTCTGGGGAGGGGCCCCCTCAAAGCATCGGCCTGCGCGCTGGGACTCGGGGGCCCCGCGGCCCCCCCCCCCCCGAGGCCGAGCGCCGGAGGTCACTCCTGCCCGGGGTGGAGGCGGGCATGTCCCCCTGCGTGAGGGGAAAATCAAGAATGGTAAAAAAAACAGTCTGGGGACGCTGTTTTGACTATTTTGAAATATTCTTGGAGTACGTCTTGAATATTCTTTGTTTGTCGTGCCACCCCCCCCGTGTAGGGGGACAGGCCCGATCTAAGCCCAGGGCCATTCCTGCGTGCAGCCGAGGCACCAGCATGTCGTGGTGGCCGCCGTACGGCACTCGAGGGGCAGCAAAATGACGGGGGGCTGCGTACTGCTACCTCTGCCTCGCGGTCGCCACGGCTGGGTTCTCCTCGGAGGCGTCCCTGTCGCCACGGCTGGGTAGGCCTCAAAGCTACGGGTGAGAACGCACCTCCAGAGAGGTTCAGGGAGTAGCGGTATCGGTACAAACTTTCGGAGCTCCGCGCGGATGTCTTGGATCTGCGCTGGGGCCTTCCTGACAGCGCCTCTGGCGCCGCCCCTGGCACGCTCCACGCGCCAGGACGGGGGGGTCCAGCGCAGGATCCAGGATATCCGCGCGGAGCTCCGAGCGTGTATGCTATATGCAGCTGTTTTCCCTCCCTCCAGGCATCAACTGCCCCCCGATCCTCTGGATGTTCATGGACTGGGAGAAGGTGATGAGCGATTGCCCGGTGATCTTCGGCTACATTCGGGGGAGCGTAAGACCCGGGTTTGCCAGGACTCGGGTTCGCCATTTTTTGTTTGACGACCGCGACTCGGATTTTGACGAGGAGGAGTTTCGTGGGATGTCTGCAGCGGGAGGCCTCGTCAAAATGCAGGCTCGGCCTCGTCATTTTTTTGACGACCTCGTCGGGGATTTCCGAGTCCCCCGTACCCGGGTCTTACGCCTCCCCGATACATGGTGGTCTTCGTGGGCTGCCTGGTGCTGCGCAGGGTGGAGGAGTTCACCGGCGGGGCGGTTCCCTGGACGCGCATCGCGCCCGTGTACGGCCCGGCGCTGAAGCGGGGAGAGGTCTTCAGTCAGGAGGGGAGAAAACACACAGACACAATTAATCCTCGATTCCCCAGAAAATATGGGAAAATATGGGAACTGTGGTGGAAGACAGAAACCCAGAAAATATTGGAAAACATGGGGGATATTTTTATTTGTGTGTATTTATTTGTGTGTCCTGGGGCCCCTTCATTTTCAGGGTTCCTCAACGGTGACTCTGATAAACAATGACATTTGCTCGCCCGAGAAAACTGCAGCCGCGTGTCGAAGCATTCTCCATTGTTCTTTCCATCGGGGCGGACGTTTCCAAAGCCTTCTTCAGCAGCGTCCCGTTTCGGGATCCCGGAGGTCTGGCGGTTCTTCACCTTCACTTTTTTCCACATGCAGTTCATGGACCTCTTCCACAACTTCCTCACGCTGCTGGATACCCTCGACGTGGAGGGGACCCCCGCCATCGTCCTGGGCGACGGCTCCAACCTGAAGTGCGGCGTGGGCGCAAAGCAGAACTTCATGTGCTACCCGAGCATCGGCATGGGCTCGTACCACACGCTCTGTGTCGCAATCATCAGCGCCGCCATGGGCGCCATGAGCTACACGTGGCTCAACTTCAGGGGCGTGACCACGGGATCGACCGCGCTAGGCTTCGGGCTGTCTGGCTCGATTGTCGCCCTGTACGGCCTCTACGCCGGCGCTGAGCTGGACCAGGCGACTACCGTGCAGCGCAGCTTCCAGGACTGGGTGTGGTTGCGGCTCATCTTCGTCGCGTTCCACATCGCGATGGAGTTCATTCGTGGCCTGTCCCAGAAGGACGCTGCTGGCCTATTCGCGCACACTACCTCGTTTGTGTCGGGCTTCGCGTACGTGCTCTACTTCCTCCCGCCGATGGGGGACGGCACTCTCCTGCCGTCAGACCGCCCGTACATTGTGCCTTGTGCCTACGACATCCACGGGGAGGACGCGAACTACGCGACGGACGTGGTGCCAGAGTGCGTCCGGCTCTTCTCGCAGGCGTACGAGTACACTATCCCCGACGCCCAGGCTCGGACAACAAAAGCTGTATGGGAAGCTGCACGGGCCTGAACCCCATGCCTCGAGCACAATGTGAAGCTATATGGATGGTGCCATGACTACCCCGGCTATGAGGAGGGCCGCGCGAAATGTCTTGGATCTGCGCTGGGGCCTTCTGGCGGCGCCTCCGGCGCCGCCCCTGGCATGCTCCGCGCGCCAGGGAGGGGGGGCCAGCGCATGATCCAAAAGAAAATTGTGCGGACCTCCGGAAGTGAATTCGGCGGCCGCCTGCGAACCCTACCCCACTCCCCCGCGGATTCGAAGGGGGGAGGCGGGGTTGCTTATATGCTGTTGCCTGAGAATGTTTACATCAGAGCGTGAATTACCTACCCCGCTTTCGCTTCCAGGCAAAACCAAGCCATACCACGCGCCTCCTCGTCAAGCGGCCTGACCGGTACAGGCTGCAATTTGGCATCGTTTGGTATCTCTTGGAAGCGAGGGTGGTCAAAAGCGAGGTAGGTTTGTTTTCCGCCTATTATATGCAGGTTTTGCTTCCCCTGTCAGGCCAAGGCCCTTTACCTCTTCGCTGGGGCGGTGGCCATGACCGTGGCGAACACGTTCTTCTCGGAGGAGGGCCGGTGGAGGCAACGGCGGCCCGCCCGCCTGGCGCAGAATTCTGCTCAGGGTCCTTCCCCCAAACACTTCAGGAGGGGAAAAAACACACAGACACAATTAATCGTCGATCTCTCAGAAAATATGGGAAAATATGGGAAGTGGGTGGGAAGACAAAAAACCCAGAACATATGGGAAAATATGGAGGATCTTTTTATTTGTGTGTATTTATTTGTGTGTCCTGGGGCCCCTTCAACACTGTTTTCCTGGACCAGGTCTGGACCTAAACGCCGTTTTCCCTGGACATCGGCTGCGTTCGGTGTTTCGTTTTGGCGGGGAGGTGCAGGACAAGAGGCAGAGCACAACGAACAACAAGACGAATTCACAGCACGAAACACATGACGTCTAGCTCCAGCCTTGCCCTGGACTCCCCCCCTGGGGGGTCCATCCTGGCCCCGCTTTCGAGGCGTATCCAGCCGTGGCCGCGAGCCGCTTCCAGGAGGCCCAGGAGGGACGAGCAGCGCTGCGCGGGGAGGGCCGCCGCTGTCTTGGCTGGCCCGCCTCCGATCTTCCTCGCGGGCAGGAAGGTTCAGGGGCAACGATAGGGGGGGATAGGCATAGGGGGGATGCATCGACCCCCAATCGCCCAGTGCTCGCCGATAGGGGGCCGATAGCCCCAACCTGCCCAGGAAGGTGCGGACTCACTAGCAGAGGCCTGTCGCCGATCTGTCGGCGATGTATCGCCGATCCCAGGTCGATGCATCCCCCCCTATATGCCAGCCCCCCCCTTAGTCGTTGCCCCTCAGAGGTCAGCTCCAGCGACGCCGTTCTGCTCGCCGGGTCGGAGGTGAGCGCCATCTGCTGCACCCGCCGCCAGCAGAGCGGCCAGAGCCCGGCGGGGGGGTCCAACATGGAGGGCAAGGGCATCGTGCTGTGGTGCAACGTGGAAGGCCCGAGGCACCAAGTATTCGCGAGCCACTTGATGTTCCAGCCTACTTTAGCCTTGATGACCTGCAAGAACTTCGAGCACCAAGAAAGTGCCGAAGCTGGAGGGTTTTCACGTATCGGGCCCTGGGAGGCGAGACTCGTTCGACACTGGTTCGATACGTTTCTGGGTGCTAGAACTTCATTCTGGGCTGTGGTCCTTAAGCACGATGGGCACACCATAACGCGAATCCCCCCTCGCGGCGTGAAAGCCCTGCGATCTGGGCGCTGCCTTTGCGTTTCGCAACGTGCGAGTTGTTGCCCAGTTTTCTGGGCCGCAAGGGCCCTTGTGGATCAATGTGGCTCGAAGCGTGCAGCAGAGGGATGGGGTCCGGGACGCCGGTCGCGACTTCCATGGCGTCGAGATTTCTCTCCCGCCACGTCGGATCTCAGGGATGGTCCAGACGGCAGGTTTTTTTGCTGCAGTCGGACCGAGGTGTAAGATCGAGGTGGGTTCGGCAAGGGTGCCCTAGCGTTCTTCGTCTGTTGGATGTTCTTGTGCCTCATGGGCAGGGCTCCCTGGGACGTTCTGTTCGTTTTTGGCCGACGGAGGGTCTCGTGTTCTTCAGGGATGATCTTCTGGCCTGGGTCCGACGGTCTGTTCTGTCTCCGGGGGCCCTCGCCAAGCCCTGGGGCCGTGAAGAGAAGGATTCGGGAGGAAGAGCCAGTCCTGGGGAAGGGGTCCAGGCCGCCGAGGGGGTCCACGTTGTCAAACAGAAAAACGTGACGTCGGAGGTCTGGGCATCGTGTTAAGTAGGGCGTGCCCCTCTTCAGGAGGCATATTCAAAAATAGTAAAACAAGTCGTAGGGGGACGATTGGATTCCTATGTTTGAGCATTCTCTGAGTCAGTATTTGTTTTGTTTCGCCCAAAATCCGCTGGTACGGAGGACAGGCCCGGCCTCAGCATCGTGTTGTGCTTCAGTGTGGAAGGCTCGAGGCACAACGCATTCCTTGGCGTACGGTCGGACCGAAGATCGAGGTCGACTCGGGGCGGGTACCCCGATGCCCATCGTATTTGTCGGGCGTTCTTGTGCATCCTGTGGAGGGTACTGCAAATCCCTTATTAATCGACCCCCCCCAAAAAAAACCGGACCCCCCTCCAAATGCGACCTAATATTCCGGACCCCCTCTTCGATGGGGCGCCTTAGTAAACCAGACCCCCTCAGCTCCAATCCAAAGAAAGCGACCTAATAAACCCGACACCCTGAATGACCAAAAAGGCGCCTTAAAAAACCGGACCCGGGGGACGATTAATAAGGGATTTGGAATACGCTTGGATGCTCTGTGTGTTTTGGCCGGCTGAGGTTGTCATGGTCCTGAGGGATGTTCTCCTGTCCCATGGTCCGACTCTGTACCCCGCACTGCCAGCCCCCTCGGAGTCGGAGCCCTGGATGCCACTCCTCTGGTGGGCGTCGTCGTCGGCGCGTGTGGGCGCCGTGCGGCCATCCTGGGAACTCCCCGTCGTACTCGACACGGGTCTTGTTGAGGTCACTGTTGGCCCAGCGGGAGCTGTTCGGGGGCCCCTCGTGGGGCTCCTTCGGCCCTGCCCGGGGGGCTCTGGATCGGCCTGCCGGCGGGGGCGGGGGCCCTCTCATGGGGCGCGGGGCTCGACGTGTCCGGCTGCGGAAGGCTCGAGGCACGGGAGACTTTTGGAGGAGGCCCAGACCTCAGTGGGCCCCGGAAGCGGCAGGGCCGTTTTTCTACCGTTTCCAAGAAAATATGTCCCTTGAAAATGGAAACGGCAAAAGTACGGCGACTGGAAACGGCAAATAAACGGCTCCAGGATTGGAACCGGAGCCGGAACCGGTCAAAACATTGCGACGGAACCGGTAAAAAAACGGCGTCGGAACCGGCAAAAAAACTGCGAAACGGAACCGGTAAAAAAACGGCCCTGTCGTTTCCAGAGCCCACTGAGGCCCAGACGCATCTGCACTTTCGGAGGTCCTCGCCGACTTCTGCCCCCGCAGCGGCTCCTGTGGCGCTTCGCGCGCCGAGCGGGGGGGGACCAGCACGCGGGCACAAGAGATCTGCTGGGGCTGTCAGATAAGAAGAAAATCGGCGTCACCCCAGCATACTTATACTATAGGTGCGTCGCCCCCCCAGGGGCGCCGCGCGCACCGAGAAATCTTCTAGTACATGCGTCGTGGAGGGCGCTTTCTGGCCACACCGCTCGGGACACGATCTACTACAAGATCGGTATGCTATATGTTCGGGTCGGACGCGCGCCTCCAAGGAGGACATATCGTAACAGTTTGTCTCCGTGCGTCCCAGGAAAGGCCCCCCGACCCCCCCCCGACTCGCACCCCGCACACCCTGCATGTGCCCATACACCGCGGCGACCTGGCCCAAAGAGTGCCGGTGCTCTCCCCGGGCAAAGCCCGCCTCGCGCCTTTGACCGAGACATGCGACGTCTGATTTGTTCCATACGTCAAGGGCATAAAAAAACGCCCCTACCGTGGTTTACGAGGCGCTGTGTGCTGAAACTCCTGTGGGCTGACAGGGTAAGCCCTGCGTGATGTGCCGCGTCCTGGCGGCTCTAGGCGTTGGGGGTTCCCACGAGGTTTACAGACCACGCACTTGTACCCCAGGGTAGGGTGGTTTTTGACCCCTCAAATCCCAGACCCCCGACGTCATGATTTTTTCATGACGCGACCCCCAGAGGTCCAGACCCATTCCCCGGGGCCGGTTTTTCACCCCGAGTCGCTTTTTGACGGTCCCGAGGCCCGGTGAGGGCCCCCGGAGGCCGAAAATGAAGGAAAACCTTCCGTCGTGGTTTTTTCATGACTCGAGGGGGTCTGGGAATACGGGGTCCCTGGAAGTCCCGCCTCTTTCCCCGGGACTGGTCTTTCACCTCGAGTCGTGTTCGGACGGTTCCGAGGCCCGGCGAGGGCCCCCCGAGGTCGAACACTGCCACGGCAGCCTCCCGTCCTGTAAATTTACGGCCCGCTCGTGCCCGGGGACGAGTGGCGCCTGCGCACCGCTGCCGCCAGGCCCAGCACTTCGCGTGCCGCCCCAGACCCCCTCGAGTAATGAAAAAATCATGACGGAAGGTTTTCCTTCATTTTCGGCCTCCAGGGGCCCTCACCAGGCCTCGGGACCGTCAAAAAACGACTCAGGATGAAAAACCAGTCCCGGGGAATGGGTCCGGACCTCTGGGGGTCGCGTCATAAAAAATCATGACGTCGGGGGTCTGGGCCGCCAGGCCCAGCACTTCGCGTGCCGCTGCTCTCCCCCGGGCATAGCCCGCCTCGCGTGGCTTCGACGAGTGAAGCCACGGCATGCCGCGGCCGCCAGGCCCAACGTGTGCCCCCACTCCCCGGGTGTGTGTTTCGCCTCGCGTTCTCAGGTGGGGATCGCTGGGAGCCAAAAAGAAGCCCAGACATGATCGCGTCGTGAAGAAGTCAGGGCGGCCAGCTCTTCGCTATTTTCAGCCCCCGGGGGCCCTCGCCGGGCCCCGGGGCCGTCAAAAGACGAGGCGGGATGCCAAGCCGGCCCCGGGGAATGGGGCGGGGTTGCCGGGGACGCCGTCCTGCAAAAATCAGGCCGTCGCATGTCTGGGAAAGTCTTTTGTGTGTCTGCTCCTACCAGAGAGGCGTCGAGAAGCTGCCGGCCGCGGTGGCCGGCGCCGGGGCCCTGCACGTGGAGGTCCGCTACCTGGACGCGGATCCTCGCGGCGACCTGGACCGCGCGCCGCTGGTCTCGGCCCGCACCCGCAACGAGACGGGTCCCGCAGGGGCAGACACCCAGACATCCGACGTCTCGTGTTTTTTCGAGACACGGGCCCCCGACCTCCCCAGACATCGAGCGTCTCGAAAAAATCGAGACGGAGTTTTTTTTTTTTTCAGTTTTTGGCCTCTCGGGGCCGTCGCCGGGCCTCGGGACCATCAAAAAACGACACGGGATGAAGAACCGGTCCCGGGGAAGTGGTCGGGAGGTCGGGGGCCCGTGTCTCGAGAAAATCGAGACGTCGGATGTCTGGGTCCCGACCACTTCCCCGGACCCGGTTTTTCATCCCGAGTCGTTTTCGGACGGTCCCGAGGCCCGGCGAGGGCCCCGAGAGGCCCAAACCCGCGAAAACATTCCGCCTCGATTTTTGTTCGAGACGCCCGATGTCTGGGAATTGTGCACCAGCGCGCCCGGCCCTCCGGCGGCCTCACCTTTTGTCCAGCGGCCGCGTGTCTCCTCGATGTGGGCCACCGGGACCCAGCATCGGGCCCTGCATGGGGCCACGTGAAGAACTGAGCCGGGGCGACACATATGGGGCACCGGGGGAGCGGTCGGGGGCTTCCGGGGCCGTGGCTGCAACAGATCAGATCGGCGGATGGCAGCGTGCCGGGCCCAGGCCGTCTTGGGCCCTGGGGTGATCCTGGCCTCGGCCGGGAGTCGGCGACTACAGTCGGGGCCCTGAAGAAGGAACCCTCTTCGTCGGGGAGGGGCTCGGTGTGCCTTGATCGCTTCACAGCTTAAGCCTCAGGGTTTTCTTGTGTCTTCGAGGGGGAATCGAGGTGTAACTTATATGGAAAAAAGGGGCCTCGCTCCTTGTTTAGGGTTCCTTGAGGTCAGCGCCCCGACGGTACAATGCGTGTGAGGTCACACCGGGGCGTTGTCGGAGGTCGGCAGCCCGCTGGGGCTTGAAAGGGGCCGCCGCGCTGCGCCCGGAGGTCTGATCTGCGCACTCGTCGGGGCGCGGCGGAGAGAGCTCTGTCGATGGTCCTCGCCCGCCCCCCCCCCAGGCGCGGGCTGCAGACCACCCCCCTGTGCAAGCCACACCCTGCGGAGTCGCTGAGGGAGGGCAAAGTTACTATAGCCAAGACGCCGAAAGAAAGAACGGTTTGGGTGCGGATGGGGCTCGATGTTGCTCAGGTTCCTCTGGTGCTGTTCCTCTTGCCCTCCTGGGGCACGGAGGCGCTTACAGGGCCAAGAAGGGGCTTCGTTCCTTATGTTGCATTCCTTCTTTCAGCGGCCCGACTGTACTCCATCCAGACATGCGATGTCTTGATATTAGTTCAGTCCCGACCCTTTCCCGGGGGCCGGTTTTTTGCATCCCGGGTCGTTGTGTTGACGGTCCCAGGGCCCGGCGACGGTCCTTGGAGGCCGAAGGCGACACAAAAGCCACCCGTCCTGAGTTTTGCTCCCCGGCGAGAGCCTGTCTGGGCACAGTGCTAGGGGTGGCCCTCGCGGCCAGGCCACGGTGGTGGTGTGCAGAGTGCTCCTCGTGATGGGCCAGTATTCCACCACCACTGCCACATGTAGGACGGAGGAGAAGGGAGGATGGGGAGGTCCTCCTCCTCTCACTCTCCCCCTCCCTCCTCCTCCTCCTCCTCCTCCTCCTCCTCACTCCTCCTCCTCCTCCTCTTCCTCCTCCTCCTCCTCCTCCCTCCTCCTCCCTCTCCTACCTGTGGTAGTGGCGGTGGAGAATCGGCCCATCACCTCTGCAGAAGGTGGCCCTGTCGTGCAGTGGAGGGAGCCCCTGTTCTTGCCGGTGAAGTTCGCGAAGGCCGCGCACATCCAGTTGGTCCTTCGCCGCGCCGAGGGCGGCGCAGCGCTGGGCCACGCGGCGCTGACGATGCCGCAGGCGCTGCGCTACGGCCGCGGCCGAGACCACAGCCGGAAGACGCTGAAGCTGAAGGCCGTGGGCGAGGGCGCCAGCGGCGTCCTTGTGCACGTGTCGTTCAAGAGCTTCGAGGTCGCCGAGCTGGAGGAGATGCGCGCTAGGCTCAAGGTCGAGATCGCGAACACAGGGCTCCAGCGACGTGAGGTGGATCACTACCTGTCGGCGCTGCAGCGAGCAGGAGTAGACGAGAGGGAGGCCCGCGCCAACGCCGCGGAGATCATCGAGGACACCGAGGCTGAGCAGGAGACGTGAGCTTGCGGAGGGGATGATGAGGTGAGGGTACTCCAAATCCCTTATTAATCGACCCCCCCCTAAAAAACCGGACCCCCCTCCAAATGCGACCTAATATTCCGGACCCCCTCTTCGATGGGGCGCCTTAGTAAACCAGACCCCCTCAGCTCCAATCCAAAGAAAGCGACCTAATAAACCGGACCCCCTTAATGACCAAAAAGGCACCTTAAAAAACCGGACCCGGGGGACGATTAATAAGGGATTTGGAATAGGGGAGATGAGAGCAGGTGGTGGACGGATGGCAGTGCGTTGACACTACGGGGCGGCAGCCGATGTTTCCATGATTGCAGATTCGGCCTGCCCCACTGCAAGGCAGTTTTCTTTTTCTTTTTGCCGCTGGTCGTATGTTTCAGCGGGTGGTGCATCCATTTGAGAGTGTTGCCCTGTTTCTCCTGTTTCGCGTATACAAGAAAAAAGGTACCAGAAAGCATTGGCACGCTGACGGTAATGAACTCAGGTGGCCCCAGCCCCGCATGCGTGCCCCAACATGGCATTAAGATACAGGCGGCCCAAGAGGTTTCAGCGATGGCCCGAGGCCTGTTTTATATGTCGCGACCTCTGGCGTTACGATGGGTTGGGGCCCGGCGACACCATGCCTCGCCTGCGCGGGCAATACTCAGAAGGGGAACAAAAAGACACAGACACAAGTATTCGTCGACTCCCAGGAGAATATGGGAAACTATGGGAAGTGGGGGGGAAGACGGAAACCCAGAATACACGGGAAACTACGGGGAGCCTTGGGATTTGTGTGTGTACTTCTTACTTGCGTGCCCCTGGGCCCCTCGGAGTACCCGAGCGAGCCTGCTTCTGGCGCCGCGCTGGGCTGTGGAGATGGCGCTTGGCCTGGCCTCGGCGGCGCGCCCGCGGGGGCCACGCGCGAGAGGGGCTGGGGCCTCCTCGGAGCGCGGCATGGGGGCCGCGGGCCTTCCGCGGAGCCTCCGGCGATCGCAGCCACACGGACTCTCTACGGTGTGCGCGGGGCGGCGACGCGTCCCGTTTCCATGGGAAGCCCGGGCTGCCGCCGCCGAGGGCGGCGGCGCCGGCCGCACGTGCCTCCCCCGATCCATGGAGTTGGCGACCGCGCGCCAGGTCCACGGATCGCTAATCCTCACCACCTACCAGACCACCCCAACCCAACCCGAAGGCCTCAATTTGCCCTTCATTTCCAGTGGGGGGGGTCGGGGAACGTCGACAAAACAAATGGAACCCGTACCCCCCCCAACCCGAAATTCGGGTCAAATTCGGGTCTTCGGGTTGGGTTGGGGTGGTTTGGTAGGTAGTCAAATCCGTGTTTGCGCGCCCCGGGGAGCCGCTCGTGTCTTCGGCTGAGCCTTCTCCAGAGGTGCCCCCTGTGCCTTCCCCCCTGGCTCGCCGCCGGCCTACAGAGAAGCAGTCCTGGGTGTGGCACGAGTCCTGGCTGTGCTGCAGAGAAGTCGTGCGTGAGCGGCTGATTCAGCGGCCCCGGTATGGAAAGCTGGCGTTGGAAGTACACATTGCTGCTCTGTGAGTCGCCGGCGCATGGCTCGGGGTATAGGAGTTCGCGCTAGGCATCGGGCATCGTCAATGACGCCAGGGTCCCAGCCAGAAGTTCAGAGTTCGCATGTGCAAGCGGTTTCGGTGTCTTTGCTAACCCCACGGACGATCTTGAGCCACAAGCCAGGTCGATCCAATGTGGCATGAGCAAGGGTAAGATGACAAACTTATGATTATGATGAAGAGGAGGGGAGGCAGAGGAACACAAGGAGCATGAGGCGCAACTCTGTGGGTTGGGAAAGTGGGAGGGGGTGTCGGAGGGAGGGGGTGCTCTGAGGTACACAGGGTTTGCGGTGATCACAAAAGGGTCAGCGATGTTCTCGTCATCAGGCATTGCGGTGTTCACAGGCATTGTGATGCTTCTGGGAAGTGTGGTCCACATAGGGAGCGTTCTCCGCGCATCAGTTGTAATTCTCGCATTCGTTGTATCGCCCGTTCGTGTGGGCGATGTGGCGCTTACGGGGCGCTTGTGGCCACGGGCACAGTGGCAACGATGAGCGCTGCGGCTTCGGCAAGTTGTTGTGTGTAGCCGGCGTGTCGGCTCCGGTATAGAAGTGCTGCGCTTGGTGTGGTTGGCGCGCTGACGCTGGTATCTGAATTTCAAAATTCGGGTTGACCCAAAAGAGGGTCCAGCGACAAGGTGTGGGTGCAATAGACTTGGTGCAATAGATTTGTGGGGTTGCAATACATTTGGGGCGTGTAATAGATATCGGGGCGCATTTGTTTTGTTGTATTTCCGCGTGCAATGCATTACTTTCAATTTAATGCAATACAGGTCTCCGGCGCAATGCATTTGCAATACGCTTGCCCGAAATCTTTTGCTCCACTCCCTTTCAGCTGGACCCCCTGTTGGGTTTGGAGGAGTAACGCCCGTTCAGCAGCCATAGCTGCAGCCGGTGTTCTCAAAAGTTGGCAGGGGCACACACGTCAGACTGTGACAGGAATTCAGAGCCCCGAATCATCAGGGGTAACTCGGGTCAGGGATAACTCGGGTTCGTTTCTCGGGAATCCAAACCCGAGTTACCCCGGACCCGAGTTACCCCGGATAATTCGGGCGTCCAGAGCCCCGAATCATCAGGGATAACTCGGGTCAGGGCTAACTCGGGTTCCTTTTCCGGGAATCCAAACCCGAGTTACTCCGGACCCGAGTTACCCCGGATAATTCGGGCGCCCAAGGAATCGGAGGACGACGAGGGGGACGAGGAGAAGGAGGCAGAGGGAGAACGAGGATGAGGAGACGGAGGGACAGGACGAGGATTAAGTCAGGCATGTCCCTCCGCAGGTGTAATATTCGAGAGTAGTAAAAAAATAGTCTGGGACGATGTTTTGGTTATATTTTGATTATTGTTGAATCTGTTTTGATTTTTCCTCCCAAGTCCGCCAGTATGAGGACATGCCCGACCTAATTTAATCTAGGAGGGCTGTGCGCCGCAACCGCCCCCTGGGACAGGGGGAGGGGCAACGGGCAGGGGAGCGCGATGTTTTCATTCAGAGCCGCCGCGGTGCTCACACGCCGTTGGTGCCCACAGGGAGGAGGAGGATGAGGAGGAGGAGGAGGAGGAGGAGAAAGAGGAGAAAGAGGAGCTCCCCTGGCGCTCCCAGAGTATGCAGCGGTCCACGCAGCGGCGCGGTGCCCATTCGCACCGTGGTGCCCACTCGTTTCTCGAGCGCACAGAAACCCTTGACCCCAATGACACGATGAAGACGTGGCCTCACCGATGGCCCCGCCTTCGCACTAGGGATACGAATTCTGTGCGGTGTGGTCTGATACATCTTCCGAGAAGACCTCTTACCCCTAATGTGTTTGGCCTTCCTAGTTTAGGTCCCTTCCCAAAGGGTTAGGGGTCCCTTTTTGGTTGAGCAATTGTGCTCAAGAGGGGACGTCTTGCCTCCAGCTTTTGCTGCGCTCCTTGGAGGCACCCCTGTGCCTGGCGCTTAGAGGCGTCGTGGTGCTCTCGAGTCTGCCACGCGTTAGTGAGCCAGTGTAAGTATCCAACTGCCTGCTGCAACCTCCGCCACATGGCAGCGCACCAGAGCAACATGGATGTCGAATTAAGGCCCGCTCTAGTTCAGCACTCTGTCTGCTCTGGCGCAGGTCTCAACGCCCCCTCCTTGTCCTCAGCTTCGTCGTCGTCGTCGTCGTCCTCCCCCTCCTCCTCCTCCTCCTCCTCCTCCTCCTCCTCCTCCTCCTCCTCCTCCTCCTCCTCCTCCCCCTCCTTCCTTCCGTTGCCATTTTGGCTCAAACCATTTTGGCTCAAGGTGCCTGGTTCCCCAGGGAGATCCGTAGATACCTCTAGTCCGAGTCTCGACCACAGGGTTTCACACGCGCGATCCTCTCAGTGAGCTGCCTAGCGGCTGAGAGTCTGTTTTCTTCTTTCGACACTGCGTGGGGCACGGTGGGCATTTTGCCACAAGGTGAAGTCTGAGCCATGGCCGCCGTCTCCAGCGAGCAGCTGATGTCAGTGCTCGAGACACTTACCAGCGAGATGAAGAGGATGAGGGCCGACGTTTCTGATGTCAAGATGCGCCTCCTTGCCGCTGAGGAGCTCGACGGGAAGATCACCGACCTCCAGATGTCCATGCACGCGGGCTTCGCGGAGGCCAGCGCCATTCAGAAGAAGATGGCGGGCGCCTTCGACCTCCGCACCTCGAAGATTGAGCAGGACAAGCTCGAGGCCCAGATGCTCCAGGTCGACGGTGCTGGTGATGGTACAGCCGACCCGCCCTCCCTCGCCAAGCAGATGCAGGAAAACATCCTCGGTCTAAAGAAGTCGCTGCGCGACATTTCTCGGCCACCATCCGTTGCCAGTTCTACAGGGGCCCCTTCGCACAATCAGCGCCTGCTGCATCCTCCGTTGGTCCGTTTGAGGTTCCAGTCGTCGGTTTTCCCCGTGATGAGATCAGTGAGACACGGCGATGGATTGCGGGTTTCCCTCGGCCTGCTACCGAGCCACATCGTCGTACCGTGTTCCAGCAGCTGAAGGATAGGATCTCGTCCCACCTCAGGGCCAATCTGGTTGGTCACTTTCACCACCTATGGCAAACATTGGCCACTTGGCCACCTTCGAGAGCGAGGCCCACGCCAGAGAGTTCCACGCCTGTTTCCTCGCCAACCCTGTCAACTGGTCCGACTATCGTAATCGAGCTGTGCACGCATTACGTATGCGGCATGACATGCCGCTGGCCGCCCGCCAGAGGAACCGAGTCCTCAGCGGGTCGCGGCCGCTGCGATACCGAGAAGCTGTGGAAAGCGGACATGAAGCTCGGCACCAACCCGTTCGAGGAAGCCTTCAGCATCACCACGGCGGATGACCGCGGGGAGCTATCCAAGCTGTGCGAAGCCGCCGCTGTCCAGTTCGACATCAAGCCGATTCGGCCCCAGCTGGGCGATTGGCGCATCTCCGCCGCCACCGCCAATTGGATGGTTGAGTCCGCTCAGGATGCTGCCCAGGCCACCGCCTACTGAGATGCCACTCGCCTACCTCTGGTTGGCAGCTGCCGCCCCCTCTACTCTTCTATGTTGTTTCGCAGTCTCCCACTGCTGTCGTGGCAGGCCCCTCCTCCCAATCGTCTTTCGCCCGTGTTAATTCGGCTAGAGACCAGCAGCCTCCACCACAGGACCCTGGCGGGCCCTCGCTGTCTTTTCCCTCCGCCGTCCCCCGCGGACGTGGAACGAAGATTGCCGCGTGGAACTGCCATGCGCTGTTCGGGGCCGTTTCTGGCGACCATGATGTTCAGCGGAAGACCTGGGGCAGTCTTTCTCAATGTGTTATAAATATCAACACTGTTTGTCTCCAAGACACCCACGATCATGATGGTGACAGCGAACCGTTGCGCGCCGAGTTCCCGTCCTCCGAGGCACATTGCTCGTTCTGCCCCGAGGTGAATGCTGGAGGCGTAGCCGTCCTTGTGGCAAAGTCTCCGCTGTCTGCGCTCGTCGCCGACCCTCCGCGCTCTCATTCCTGGCCGTCTCATCGCTCTCACTTCGAAGCCCGGCTCCTTCCAGCCCACCATTCGCAACTTGCGTCTCGATCCTGCCCGTCGCCAGCGCCAGAAGATTGATGTGCTGGCTCAGTGCGCCGACTGCCTTAATGCGTTTCAGCGGGTCTTCTGTTTCGTCGGTGATTTTAACTACTGCGAGCTTGGGGAGGGAACTCAAAGGGTCGACGGGGCCACTGAGCCAAACTCCCCCGACTCTTTGGCCTCTAGGCCCTGGGCCCTCATGCCTTGGATCACTGACTGTGTCCAGGAGGCCCCGACCCACCGTGCCACCAGAGATCGGCATGTTGTCAGTGTTTCCAGGCTCGATAGGATATATACCAACCTGTTCGCAGGTGATCTCGTGGACCTGAAACCGACTTCTGGGACCGCTTGGAATGCTGTAAGGCCGATCTACTTGGTGGCCATGCTCTTATTTATCTTCACTTCAATGGAGGGGGTGAACCCCAAGGATTCCAGAGAGCCATCGCGGGCCCCAAAGCTGCCGTCACACCCTATCGAGCTCGACAAACTGATGGATGACCACGGCGCGTGCGAGGCAAATGACCAAGATGGGCGCATCGCCCATCATCGGCTCTCCGAGCTGCCGCCTGACTCACCCGAGCAGCACATGCAGCGGTTATTCGCAGTCAACTGTTCCACGCGCTCGCTCACCTCTTGCACTGTGGTGAAGGCCTCGAAGGCCACCCCTCGGCTCCTCGATTTTCTCGATCCTGTTGCATGTCGGTGGCGCGACCAGCGAGCACGTCGTGAATGCGCGTCTCAGATTGCAGCCTTGCGATGCCAGCCCGGATGCGAGTTGACTTGGGTCACGCCGAAGCCTTTCCTCAATAGATCGAGCATTGCGCAGCACATCTTCAGCGCATGGTCTCCGCGTGGTCTCCAAAGAATCGCGGGTTATTTCTCGCCGGCATCGCGAATCCCGACGGCAGTGCAATGCAGGTCTGCAGGTGCCCAGGTGCTGGAGCTTGTGCGCTTGCTGCCCGCTGGGGCGCCGCTCATGCCGCTGTCTCTTCTCAGCCTGCCGCTCGTGACCAGAGCTTTCGGGCCGTAGTCTGCGCGCTCCTGATCGGCGGGATTGGGGGATGATAGATGGGGGGTTTTGTTTTACCAGGTCCTGGACCAACTCCGAGTCTCTGCTGCGGGCCCTGATGGGCGATGCTACTCCGCCTGGGCCAAGGAGAGTCGGGTGTCCGTTGGGCCGCTCTTCGGGCGCATGAGCATGCGATGGATTTTGGCAAGGTCTTTGAAGGTTTCAACGCCGGCAACTTCGCCCCCCCCCCGACGCAAATAGAAAGGGCTCCATGGATCGGGACGGCCCAGAACTCTGGAGGGCCCCTGAGGCCACCCGGCCGATTGCTTTCTCGAGCTCTTTGAAACAAATCGCCCTTGTCGCGGTTAACTGCCCCCTGAAGATGCTCTGCATGGACGCCGCCCTTGGGGTCCAGAGGGATTTCGTTAGGGGCCGGCACATGGTCGATCACCTGATCGAGTTCGAGGCTCACATGGCCGCCGGGGCTTGGTTCCAGCGGAGGGGCACAGCTGGCGCCATCCTGCTAGACAACAAAGCCGCGATCCCCAGTCTCTGCCACGGGTGGATCTTCCACGTTTTGAATGAGATGCAGTTTCCTTCGTTTGTGACTCATGCTATCAAGTCTCTCCATGCCATTGCGCGCACCACCATCATCCTTTGGGGACAGGCTCATTGTCAGTTCGCAATGCTGAGGGGTATTATGCAAGGGTGTTTCCTTCGTCTGGCTCGGTATTCGCTCTTGGGGTGGACCCTATCCTTCGGCGGCTGCGCTTTAGGCTGCCGCTTCCCTGTCCATGTGCATTGTGCGTTCGCGGGCGACGTGGGGTCGGCTAGCTTCGACATCCATGAGTTGGTGCCCATCTTCATGCGTGTCTATTTCCTTGCTGCATCTGCTGCTGGGCTTGCTCCGAACCCCTAAGAAAAAAAACGATCATCCCATTGTATTGCGATTTTGACGGACAGGCAGTTGTTTTTTTCCTTTTCTGTTTGGTTGTCGTGTTTTTGTCTTTTTGTTTATTTATTTGTTCTTTCTTTATGTATTTCTTTTTTATATAAAGTTATAAAACAATCCAGAGGCGTTCTCATCATGGTTTCCCAGTTTGGGATGGAGTCGAGTGCTCGCTGACTTGGGGTTCAGTGTGGTATCAAGGCACAATGAGATACTTGGTCTGGCCCTATTTTGAAGTTCAGAGAGAGTTGCCGTTTCATCAAGTCGCTCAATCTAGGGCTCGCGCTCTCTCTGAAAGCTTTCAACCAGATCGTGGTTGCAGTGCTTCTGTTTGTTGCCCAGTTATTTCCCCCACCGCCGATGATGCTTCCCGATGCGCGCCGTCCCTGATGACGTGTTGTACAACCACACCGCCAAAGGCAAGGATCAGGTCTCGGCTCGGTCCATGAAGCACCCGGCGAGGGCTGCCGAATGTCGCGTTGCGCTTGCATCTTCGGTTTGCCTCGCGTGCGTTGAGAAGCTCGAGGATGCCCTCGGCGACGGGGAAGCCCACGTCGACGCCGCTCATCATTCTGTTTATGGCAAGTCGTTTGTCGTCATGATGCATCCGAATTCCAAGGGATTGTCGCCCCCCCCCAAAGCGCCCAGTTTTTTTGGAGCCAGGGCTTGAGAAAGACAATGAACCGTCTCGTTCAAAGCCAACTCCCCTTCAGAAGACCCCAGGGGTTTGTGCACGAACGGTTGAGGTATTGGCGCGTTCGGTTCCCTGGCGAGCTTGGTGTCCTCTCAGCGAACTCGAGCGCGGTTTGCCTTGCCTGTCTCAGACCCGTCGGTCAGAACCTCGTAGCTTTCATTCAGTTGCGTCGTCTGCGCAGTATCTGTGTCGCGTGGAATACCTCTCGGAGGTACCGTCAGCCAGCCCTTGGATGCTGATTTGAATGTCAATGTTTTGGGGCGGATCAGATCATCCACTACCTTCAATTTCCTGTACTTCTAGAAGTGGTGCGCTTTCGCCTGCCCAATCTCCCTGGATGGTGGGTGGGTGGAGGTTATTGCTGGTCTCCTCTTGTTCTCTCGTCCTTTCAGTAATACGGAGGCGTGCAGCATAGCCACAGCTCATGATATGTTAGTAAACGCGTGTAGTACACTTCGCTCTGCAGGGGTGCAGAGATCCGCGCGTTCCCGCCAGCTTGCCGAAGGCAGGCTCCGACTGATCTGCCGAAGGGACGCCAGGGCGAGGGCCCTGGCGGGATGGCGGCAGGTTGTGCAACGTGACCCTCTTGGTGGAAGCCCGCCTCCTCCCTTTTTTTCCTTTTGTGCCCTTCTCCTTCTCTGCCTCCTTCCACCCTCCTCCCTCTCGAGGGCGTTTTGGGGGCTTCTTGGGAATTGAGTGGGGCCCTATTGATTACCCGTCGGGGGCAATCTGGGGGCCTTGTAGGGGTCTTGGCTTAGGCGCGATCGCCCTGCCGAACCCTCCCGACGATGCTCGGTTGGCGCTGCGCTGGGGCCGTCAGGTCGAGCCTCGGAGCCGCCATGGCAGTTCCTTTGGGCGATCCGTGGGCCGTCCTGGGGTGCCCTGGGCCCCTTTCGACTGCCGCCTGGTGGCCCGACGGAGGGCCCTGCGGGGCCGCTGTGGGCGTCTTGGGGCTGCCTCGGGCGCGAGGGCTCTGCCGAGCGCCCCCGCTGCGGCTCGGTGGCGCCCATCCTTTGGGCTGCTTTTGGTCGCGCCGGGCTGTCGCCTTGGCGCCCTCCCGGGGCGATCCTGCGTGCGGGGGTCTCTCGGGACCTCCTTTGGTTTTTTTTCTGGGGCCCCGTGCTCTCTTGAAGCGCTCCGGGGCCTTCCGGGGCGTCTGGAGCCGAAAAGGAGGCATCACACAGTGCCTCATCGGCGGGCCCGTTGGGCGCCGCTTGTGGACCCCATGGGGCATCTCGGGGCCTCCCGGGGGTTATCTTGGATCTTGGAGCCGTTTGGGGGGTCTTCGGGCCTCCGTAGTCTGGTACATTTGGACGTCCAGTCGGGGTTCGAGTCTGTCGTGGAGCTATCGTGAGGCGGTTTTGGACTGTGGTGGTCTCTGGGTGTGTTTGCTGCAAGGGGCAGGGTCGCCCCTGGATAATTGCAGAGCGTCGTCAGACGAGTCAACAGGCGTTCTTGCACGCCCAATCGGGCTGACGACTCGGTGTCGGATAAATCATCCCAGCCCCCGTGGGCTCTGCGGTGTTCATTTGGGTTGTTTTGCCAGCCAGGTCAAGCATTCATCGGGACGTTCACTACCACTGGAAGAAAGTGTTGGCTGACCCCTGTAACGGGCGCTTTCGGAACAGTAGGTGAACAGCCTCTTGAGGGCCCTAAGGCGGCAGGGCCCCAAAGAGGCTTTACAGATGGCTCGAGAGGCTCCAAGGGGGCCGCAGGACGTCCCCAGGAAGGCCCCAGAGGCTCTTGAGGAATCCCGGGCAGGGCCCCGAGAGGGTCCAGGAGCGAGGGCCCCGTGCCTCGCGAGCGCGCTGGGCAGCTCAGCCGCCGGGGGGGGGCCCTTGTGGGCCCGCACCAGAAGTCACCTGGGCGGAGGGTCGCCTTTACGCATCCGCCGCCGTGGAGGTGTGGGGCAGCGCGGGGTTGGGGAAGCGGCGCGGCCGGCGGCGCGGGCTGATTACGACCAGAGTTGCCGAGCGAATGGCGACGCACACTGTTCCGAGTTTCCTGGAGGGGTGGAGTGTAGAGCCACTGGCGATGCGGCAGCAGTGCGGGCGAGGGTTCGAGCCCAGACCGTGTAGAACCGACAGCGGCAAACGATTTTCCAGGCTTGGACACGTGGATAGTGAGGGAAGGCCAAGGAGCTGGAATCGTGCAGAGCAGACGCGCGCGCACGCATTCATGCAGAGTCGTACGCCGACGCGCACGCACACGTCCACACGTACTCGTATCGCCAGGCCTGCGGCGCCTCTCCTCTCCTCCCCCGCCTCGTCCTCCTCCTCCTCCGCCTCCTCCTCCTCCACCTGCTCCTCCTCCTCCTCCTCCTCCTCCGCTGGCGCTTCTTCGCTGGCATCTTCTCCCGACCAGGCGCACCGAGTCCGCGGCGCTGCCGCCTCGCGGGGTCACCTCAAGCAGACCATGTTCCATGCTCTGCAATGAGAACGACGTTTGCCGTCGTGGACCAAACACAAGTGAGCTTTCGCGCTCGTTTGGTGGCAGCCAGGTGGCGGAAGCGACGTCTGTGCTGGAGGCTATGTGGTGGAGGCTGTGCCGTGGAAGCTCCGTGGTGCAAGCTGCGTGGTGGAGCACATGTGCGGCAGCGGGCGTTGACGGGTGGGAGCCCGGTGAATCTTCGACGCACCCACACACGCGGCACCAGGCGGCGACGGGCGGCCACGGGCGGCAGCGGGCCGGAATGTGGCGAACCTTCGACGCACCCACCCAGCTCCTCTCACAGACAAGGGGGAACCCCTAAGTTCAGAAAGGAAAAAAAAACACAGACACAATTAATCGTCGCGTCCCAGGAAAATATACGAAAATACGGGAAGTGGGGGGGGGAAGACAAAAACCCAGAAAATATTGGAAAGTAGGGGGATCTTTTTATTTTGGGTGTATTTGTTTGCGTGTCCTGGGGCCCCTTCAGAAGTGCAAGCACCTGTTTGGGGGAGCAGCCTGTCCGCACGCACAACACTCCCGCACGCTGCCGCGCCGCTCCTCGACACGCCCCCCGGAGGTGGAGGAGGAGGAGGAGGAGGAGGAGGAGGAGGAGGGGAGGAGGAGGGAGGAGGAGGAGGAGGAGGAGGGGAGGAGGAGGAGGAGGAGGAGGGAGGAGGAGGAGGAGGAGGAGGGAGGAGGAGGGAGGGGAGGAGGAGGAGAGGAGGAGAGAGGAGGAGGAGGAGGAGGAGGAGGCCCCCCGGAGGTGGGAGCGGCCCTCGCTCTTCCTCCGGAAGCTGTCCCCGAACGCGCTGCTGGTCAACGGCAGGCCTGCGCAGGCGCAGGAGGCGCCCCGGCCCGCCTCCCTCTCTTCTTCGGGAGGGGGAGAAGACACACAGACACACTGCTCCTCCTCCTCCCCCTCCTCCTCTTCCACTCCTCCTCCTCCTCCCCTCCTCCTCACTCCTCCCCCTCCTCATCCTCCTCCTCCTCCTCCTCCTCCTCCTCCTCCCCTCCTCCTCCCTCCCTCCTCCTCCTCCTCCTCCTCCTCCCTCCTCCTCCTCCTCCTCCTCCTCCTCCTCCTCCTCCTCCTCCTCCTCCCTCCTCCTCCTCCTCCTGCTCCTCCTCCTCCTCATCCTCCCCCTCATCCGTCACCGCTTCCTCCTCCTCCTCCTCCTCCTCCTCCTCCTCCTCCTCCAGACACACTGAATCGTCGATTCCCCCAGAAAACATGGGAAAATACATGGGAAGTGGGGGGGGGGGAGACAGGAGCCCAGAACATGAGGGGTGAACTATGGGGAGTCTTTCTATTTGTGTGTATTTTTTCCGTGTGTCTCAGGGCCCCCTCCTCTCTGCACGGCGCGCCTCGTGCTCTTGGCTTCTCTTCGGCCTCCGCGCGCACGGACGGCAGGCGGCCAGACGTCGGAGGACGAAGAGGCACCGGTGCCTCCGCCCTTCCGCGTGCCTTCGCCGTCTTGGGCCTCCTGGGAGGCCCTCGGCGTCACGGCGGGATTCGCCCCAGGATGCTGGTCAGATCGCGGGAAGGTCTGGGGAGCAGCGTTATCGGAACCTTTTTGGTTTCCCCGGTCAGGATAAATCCGTTGCTGGCTGGGTGGTGATTCGTTGGTCAAGTGGATCCGAGAAGTGTCGCTTGGGTTGTCATTTTTTCCCTGTGGCGTGTGTAGTGAATGTGCTCCAGAAGTGGAGTGCAGGCGATTGGCTGCTGCACGGCCATTGCACGTTGCCCATGGCGCGCGCAGCGCGCACTGGATTGTACAATTTGCCTGTTGAGTGGACATGTTTTCACAGCGAGGTGCTGTTTACTATGGTGCGAACTTGAACGTACGTCTGCGCACAGAGTAGTTTGGGGTGTGCAAGGCTTCTTGAAGATATGCCTGCTTAGATGTTTAGAGCGTTATCTTATTTGCTTTGTTCGTTCGATCGGTGTCTGATGTTTCCCGTTCGGGTATGCGTTTGCGCTCGCATCTTGCTTGTGTCTGTCCGTTTGGCTTAACACATTGAGCTAGGCCCATGGTGTATGGACTTCGTTGCATGTTCGTCTTCTTGACACTGCCCTGAGCAAACGCAGTACGGCGTGTGCTGCTGTACGGGTTTTGGAGCTGCGCTGGATTCACCGCATCGGTGCACAAAATATCAGGTGCCGATCCAGCACGACACGAAGATATCCGCCTGCGCTGACGCGGATTGCCGCCACTGCGCTCTGGGCTGTTTTTCGGCGACGTTGCAGCGCTCTGCTCGTCCTCCTCCTCCTTTCCCTTCCCCCTCCTTCCATTCCTCCTCCTCTTCCTCCTCCTCCTCCTCCTCCTCTTTCCTCCTCCTCCTCCTCCTCCTCCTCCTCCTCCCCTCTTTCCTTCTCCTCTTTCTTCTCCTGCTCCTCCTCCTCCTCCTCTTTCTCCTTCCAGGAGTCCTGGGGCCGAGGACAGGGCAGGATCGTATTTGAAGGTGCCTCCCACCAACAGTAACGGTGGCACTGAGTGGAGTAGAGCAGGGCAACGTGTACCGAGGCCGCCTGACCGGGGAGTAGCGGCAGTGGCACCTTCTTGTTTTCTCAGAGTGTGTGTGTGTGTGTGTGTGTGTGTGTGTGTGCGAGTGCCGGACCACTGCGTGCCCGGCTAATTGTGTTGCCAGCTCGTCGCGCTCGCTCCTGTTCATTCGGCAGATGGGGCCTCTCTCCGCCTTCCCCTCAGTTCCCCCTCTGTCTATTTCAAAAAAGCGATACCCGTCCCGCCAGCGACGATCGACCCCCATTGGACGCCAAGTTGTTGCAGAACTCCGTCTCTGGATTTCCGATGTCCAGGCGGAACGTCAGCGGTGTTTGTTTTCCCCCCTATGGAGGGAACAACTTAGTTTGACCTTGCTGTCGTTCGTGATCGCTGAGCAGTTTGTCGCAGCGATCGCGGAAGACTGCCTGAGCCGAGGCCTTGCGGCGCCGATCGCACTGTTCGCTGCCAGGCCGGGCGCTGCCCACAGGCGGGCCTGAGCAGTGAGGGCCGTGTGCAGATCGTGCAGTCCGGGTGCCCGAAGGGAAGGACAAACGAGCGAGCTCGTGCCTTTGATCGTGCAGGAGGAAAAGATATCCATCTTTTCCTCCTTTCCTCTACCAACGGATCAGGGGCTCTGTACCTTTGTACTTCAACCCCATACACAGGGAAGGACAGGCGAGCGAGCTCGAGGCGCGCCGGCGGCTGCCGAGGGCGGTTGGCGGATCCTTCTGCGGCAGGGACAACGCCACGCCCTTTCTGGCCTTCGTGGTGCTGCTGCGGGATGCGGCCGCCGTCACGGCCAAGGCGCGCGCGCGGGGGGGAGGGGCGGCAGCCTGCCGGCCGGGGCGGCGGGTCTCGCCTGGTGTGTTGCAGGCGCAGCGCACGCCCAGTGGATGGTAGCCTGAAGTCGGGCGTGTCCCTCTACAGGAGGAATATTCAAAACATAGGAAACAAATCGATGTTTGAAACATATGCTTCATTATTTGGGGATATGTTTGAACAAACAAATTTCGTCTAAAATCCCCTGTAGGGGGACAGGCCCGACCCTATGGTCGCCTCCTGGTTGTAGCTGGTGTGCGCACCAGGTCCTGTGGCCTGAGGTGCCCGGGTCACCTGGCCACGATCGCTGCTCGACGGCGGTATCCGAAACCTGCCCTCGCCGTGGCGTTAGAGACCGTTTTTCATTCCCTGCCGGTAAGGGGCGTGACCTGGAGGGGAGGGGAGGAGGGGGCCAGTCACGTCACGATTCGCGCTGGCGCTGCGTGGGACTGCGAAGGAATGGCCAATCCCTTCGAGGCGACGGCGCGAATCGCGACGTGACCACGGGGGGATGGGGGAAAGCGGGGCGGGGCCGGCCACGGGCGTTATCGCGAATCATAAGAAGACGAGCGCTAACTCTGTCCCAGATTCGTGTTTGAACTCTTCGATTCACTCGTAGGCACATCTGGAAGACATACACGCTGCGCAGATGCACTCACACATGCGAGAGTACACAAGTATAGTATTCAAAAACATTCGAGCAATCGTCAATCCCTTCATTTCTCCAACGTTTTATACCGCACGTGGGTGCCACAAGGGGGGGGGGCACAGGGGGGACGAGGGACGGGAGGCACACGGGAGTGCCACATCGGGGGTTACATGGGGGAGCCACGCGAGGAGGGCGTATGGAAGAGCACATGGGGTCATCTTGGGGGTATACGGATGCCAGCTCACTCGTACCCGCTCTGTCGGGGGCATCTTGTCTATATAGTATCACCTCTCTGACATCTTTCTGTTGCTGATCATCATCCTGTTGGGCATTGCGTCTCCGCCCCATTTCCTTTGCCCCTCTTCTGCTGACCATCATCTTTGCCTTGTGGCATGCTTTGTTTTGCTCAGCGTCCACCTCTGAAGCGTCCAGGAACTGCAGCTACACGGTTTTACATTCATGTCGCTGTGAAAAGGCACGCGGGGACTCATTGTTGTGGGGAATCCAGCCAGTACCAATTTGAACATCGCAGCTGCGCACGGTTACACATTTTTGGGCCATCTGGCAGCACCCTCCTCTCTGCACTCTTGGCCCCTGGCAGGAGGGTTGCACCCTGACATGGCGACGCGGGCCCTGCTCAGCATGCTTGCGCACGCTGCCCTCCATCGAAGCTCAGCATGCTGCTCAGCATGCCCTCCATCGAAGCTCAGCATGCTGCTTGCGCACGTGGGCCCTGTTCAGCATGCTTGCGCACGATGCTTGATGCGGCTCATCGCAGCATCGTGGATCAAACGAAGAACGGCGGATGTGTCCAGCGTTCTTGAGGGCACGGGGCGGTCCCGCGTCGCAGCCATCTCGTCCTTGGCAGAACGCGACACTGCGACGGCTGGCGGGGAGGGCGCGGGCGAGCGCTGACGTCTTCCTTCTCTTGCTCATGTCCCTCTATAGGAGGAATATTCAAAATAGTCAAAACACAGTTTGGGGTCTATTTAACCAAACCATGTATGGCTATGTTTGAATATTTGGTTTTGCCATTTTTGTATAACATATTTTTTCTTCCCAAATCCGTCTGTAGTGGGACATGCCCGACCCAATCGTGGCGCCGCACTTCCCGCGCGCGGGAGCGCTGCACGCTGCACCTGGGGGGGCCCTTTCTGCCATCCGAAAGGTGCTGCTTTTTCTGGTATCCGACGCGGGCTCGGCGCGGACTCGACGCGGATCCGACGCGGATTCGACGCCGCTCGCCGCGGGTGTGATCTGGGCATCGGTACCATAGGACGGAGAAGGCCCCCCGAATGTGCAAGATTCGGCGGGCGAGTCATAGCGTAGAACAACATGTGGCGCCATCGGGGACGCTTGTCCCAAGACACCCTAGGACAGGCATCCTGGACTGGCGCCCTGGATCGCGGAGCCGCTTATTTCATACCGTTTTCCGCCTGCTAAAACGTCGGCCAGTACCCAAGACCCCTGACGCCGTGTTTTTTTCCGCTAGACCACCTCTCCGGGACCGGCTGCTCATCCTGAGCAATCCTTGACGGTCCCCTGCAGGGATGGGCGACGGGGCCCAGGGGACGAGAAATAGCCAAGGAGCCTCCCGCCGCGAAGGTCTCACGCCTCGACCTCGAGGGGGGGTGGAGGAAGGAGCTTGCCGCAGCCTTCTCGGCCCCAGCGCAGGGCCCCCTCGGCCCCCGCCGAGGTCGCTCCAGGCCTCTTGCCCGCGACCGGGGCGGCGAGCCCGGCGGAATGCGCTCGCCCGGCGCGCCGGCGGGTGCGAGCGCGCACGCGCCGCAGCAGGCGGTGGGCGAGGGCTCCTCGCCGCGCGAAGCCAGGCCGCGGCCGCTGCCCGCTCGCCGTCTTCCCAGACCCCCTCGAGTTATGAAAAATCACGACGGGAGGTTTTTCATAATTTTTGGCCTTTGGGGGCCCTTACCGGCCCTCAGGACCGTCAAAAAACGACTCGGGATGAAAAACCAGTCCCGGGGAATGGGTCCGGACCTCTGGGGGTCGCGTCATGAGAAAATCATGACGTCGGGGGTCTGGGTTCCTCGTCGGCCTCCCCCGCTCGAGCAGTGGCGGAGCGTCCTGGCTGGGCTGCAGGCCCCCCCCAAGACAGAGTCTAAGAGCCTCGTGTGGTCTGCACGAAGCGTCCTCAGAACAGGTCTGGTTGAGACTGTCTCGGTTTACCACATCGGGTGTACGTTCTAAGAACATCGGGTTTGCTCCTAGAACATTTCGGGGTTCTAGGAACATGCCGTGGGAGACCTGTAGGAATGCCGGGACTGCCGGTCCCTGCTCCTCCTCCTCCTGTCCCTTCTTCCGCCGCCCGCATCGCCTCGGCGCCTCCGCCCCGCTCCCCGTCCTGGAGCTCTAAGTTTTTTGTTGGAGCGCGGGCGCGTGGCACGCGTTAGGCCTCCCTTCAGCCGCGCGCAGAGGGGGGCATGGGGATGGGGGAGGGGGGGAGGCTTCGTGTTGTTCAGGAGCCGGCTTCGCAGTCATAAGCTTCAGGCCGGTGCTTGAGCCGGGCACGCAGAGCTGCAGACAAAAATTCACACAGCCCGGCGCACGACGTTGGGGTGCTTGATTGCGAAGGCGACGATGAAGAATCGGCAGCATCACATGCGTTCACGTCTGCAGCACGTTCGCGTCGTAGTGCGATTCCGCTTCTCGTCACAAGGGGGGAGGGCTTCCCAGACTACTAGGAGCACCCCTGCTTCTACGAGGCTCTCCCCCCTTCCCCTGCCCCCTTTTGTGCGCGCCGCCGATCCAGCCAGTCCGCCTTGCCCCCCCGGCAGGCCAGAGCGCCTGCCGCCCCGCCCACCCCCGCAGCAGCGCACATGACGCCTTCGAGGGGCCTGCGCCGTTCCGCCGGCCCGAGGAAAAGCGAGGTCCAGGGGTGAGCCTCTTGGGGACCATTTGGGGCCCGCTTTGGGGCCTCCTTGGGGCCGCTTCGGGCCTTCCTGGGGGCCTTCCTTGGGCGGAGGGCTCGAAATTGGGGCCCACCTGGGCCATCTTTGGCGACTTTTGGGCGTCTTGGGGCCCTCTTGGGGGCTCCTTGGGCCGTGTAAAAGCGATCTTGGATGCCTCTTCAGCTGTCTTCGATGCTGTTAAGACCGAAGAGGCGAACATGCTAAGATAAACGTTACCCCAAGAGGTTACGACGACTTTTGCCTCTTGGGCCTTTCTTGGGGGTCCTCTCGGAGCGCTCGTGGGGCGTCTTGGAGGCCACTTGGGTAGTCTTGACGCCAACTTGGCTGTTTTTGAGATCTCCTCGGCGTGCTGGAGACCAGCTTGAGCCAGCTCAGACGGCATCATGGGCATGTTGGAGGCCACGGAGTGTAAATTTGAAGGGTCCGGAGGCCGATAAGCGAGATTTGTGATCCTTTGGGAGGGGGGAAGTGGGAGAGTGACAGCCAATTGTCTCACACGCCATGTCACCCCCTGCAACCGGGGGTTCGTCGGATTACTTGGCGTATTTGTATACTTATCGCAATGTGCACGGACATCGTGTTTGAGGCATGTGCCTGTGGTGTGTGGAGGCGCGTGGCGCTCGCAGGCTGTCGTGCCACCAGTACAGGCGGTGGCGCGCATGGCACCGGAATGCACGCAGGCGCTGGGGTGCATCCAGGCATTGTTGCGCGCTGTCGCCGCATGGTGTGGATAGGCCTTGTGGTGTACGCAGTATGCACACACACACCGGCTGTTGCTGGTGTGCCCAAACATGGTTGTGCATTCAATGGTTGTGGTATTGTGCACACACGCACTTTGATGCACACAAGTAATGTGGTGTTCACAGTCGCTGCGGTGAGCATAGGCACTGCGGGCCCAACGTGTGTGGGAGGGACTGCCCCAGGCCAGTGAAATCAAGAGTCGCAAACGACCTACATGTTGAATTTGCTACGTAGGTTCGGACCCCTTACGATCATCCAGATTTTGACCCCATGGGGACCGTGGAGGTGTACGCAGGCTGTCTTGTGTATGCAGGCATCCTGGTGCACAGACATTGTGGGTACACATATGGCGCTGAAGCAGCATCTGTGGTGCACACGGTCGTTGTGGTCTACACACGCAGTGACGTGTGCACAGGCGTTGTGGTGTACACGTGGAGTGTGGTATGCACAGGCTCTGCGGTGCCTACGTACGCTTTGGTGCGCACATACGCTGTTGCAGCAGCAGTTCTGGTGTGCAAGGGGATGTCGATGTACGCATGTGCAAGCGGAGGCAACTTGTGTGTATGCTGCAAATGTTGTTGCTGTGCTCACGAGCATGGTTATGTCAAGTGATGTGTCGTGGGGGTCGCAGACGTATCTGTGTTCTCGCAAAGTACCCCCTATCGCCT